CTAATTTGGAATTTTTTGGGGACATGTGCAGGTACTGGAAGTGTGTTTCAGTTTCCAGAGAAAAATTCAGGGAATCTAGGGACTGCCCGTAAGCGCAGTGAGAACCCGATTTCAGACTCCAAAACAAGTAAGGATCCCTCACCCTATTTTCTATTACGGCATTAAAGCTTAATAAATGATAAAACGGTATTTTATGAATTAATATATATGTATAATTAATTAAGATTGCTAATGGAGCTCGAATCTGATGTATTTTTCGGTCAGGTGTTGTTTGGTTTATTTTATAGTTTTTAATATAGTATGGTGCCTGATGTATTTATTCTATAGTTTCGTATGCATGAATCACGGTTTCATTTATTATATTTTGAATTATTGTGAACCCGATGTTGTGTTGCCTTGTTTGGTGTCCATTACTGGTTTACGTGTTTATGTTTGATTGGATAATTGAGATTAAGAAAAATGAAAAAAGGTATGTGAATTGATAAAGGGATAATGTCGATAGCCTAACTAGATATCCTGGGAGATAGTGGACGGACCGAGTCCATAGGGAACCCTACCGCGAACGTGGTCTCTCATATCAGACAGGTATGAGACTTATGTGTTTGGCGCCCATACGGACGAGTATGAGACGGCCCGTTTCACCCTCATACCCGGACAAGGTATTGAGGTTTATGATTTTGGCGCCCATATCGGATGAGATATGGAAACAGTCTTATAATTAAGTTATTAATGTGAATGGTTCACGTGTAGCGAGGACCCCATATGGATCCCTATGGATACTAGTAGGCTGATAAAAGAGAAAATTTGTTGCCTAATGATTGAAATACAAAAGCATGATATGTCTTATGTTATAAAATGTGCATGATCTTATGATGTTTATGATGTTATTGTTTCTCATAAGTTATTTTCATGAATCTCACTGAGCTAAATGGACAGTAAATGTTTTTATTATTGATAAATGAGTTTGTTATAAATTATGTTCCATTAGTCGTTTTTATTTTCTACCAAACTTTACTTCTGTGACAGTGAGATAGTGTGATGTCTTTACTGGGCTAATGTAGCTCATTCCTTACTTAACCATTTCAGATAAGGAGGGCTTGGTTCCCGAGCCCGTTCTGCAGGAAGACGGCGAGTAGAAGCCTAAGAATTTATTAGTTTTCCTTATAGTATTCATTCATAATATTTCTTTTAGTTAGTTTATTTTTTATATGTTTAATTCATTTTGGTTATTGTGTAAGGGATGTTAATTAAAATCTATTTTATTTCGCTTCCGCACTTAGAATAAATTTATACATTTCCTTTTCATTTTCAGGGTCGTTACACATATAGATAGTAATCATGCAAGTGAGATGGTTGTTTTCTAAGTCTGATAGATTTTATGTGTAATACTCTTGAGCTGGAATTATTAACAAGTATCTGAATTAAAAAAATATGATGGGAAATTAGTAGAAATAAGAGAAGGAAAGGTTAAAGAAACTTACATGGACTTGGAGAACATGCATGACCTGTACTATCTTGAAGCCTATAAAGCTAGTCAATGTCACTGTAATTTGTAATAGAATCATCAATACATGACATTCCAAATTCACTTGAGGATTTGCTGGTTGAAGAGGAAAAATGAAATACATATTAAAAAAAATCTACATATTAGGAAACAAACAATTTTTGAGAATACAAATCAAATATTTTGTATCCTTTAAAATTAGAAGAATACCTGAGAAAGACACATTTAGTGGCTCGATTATAAAATTTCAATCAATTAGAAGCAGAGGCAAACCATAAGCAAACAAAGACTTTTTATATGTTTAAATAGGCTTAGAATTGAATAGAAGCTGAAAGTTGTTTTATTGTTGATGACTGGGTATACAGTTGATTAGATAAACAATATGTAACATACAATCCACCCAAATTTTCATTGGCAATTTGTTTTGAAACCGTAATGCTCGCGCCGCATTCATGATATATTGATGCTTTCATTAAAAAACATCATTTTGTTATGGTGTATAAAGACGAGAGCATAGTTGTATTGTCCCTTTTTCTACATAGAATTCAGTCATGTTGAATTCTTATTATCAGTTTTGACATGTTTAATTTTTGTTTGAAATTATGTGTCCATAAATGTAAAAAAATTGACAATAATCTTCCTTACTTCTCCTTTGTTCTTCATATGATACAACTAAGTATATGTACTTTTATCATTAACAATTGTAAGAAAATAATGATGATCGTATAGGGAAGCAATAGAAACATGTCCCCACATGTCAAGATGAATTAAATAAAAAATGATGAGTAACTGAATTACTTGAAGGAAAATGAAGTCTTTTGTTTACTGAAATGACAGATCACAAATAAAGGATGAACTAGGCCAAGTATCTTTATTCAATTGATGAAGTATTTACAACCTTGGTGTAGAAGGATGATCGAGGCGGTAATGCCACAAATTTTATTTGGTAACAACAGAAGAAGAAACAAAGGAATTGTTAGGAATTACAGAATTTACAATTCTATCGTTAGGCTTATTTTCTTCAAGATAATAAAACCCATCATTCTCTCTAACTATATCAATTGTCATCTGACTGTAGGCATCCTGAATTTTACAATAATGGTCATGAAAAAGTAATTAGTATTGGGAATTTTGTACTAAATGACTAATGGATATAAGATTGAGAATAAATTGTGGTGAATATAAGCATTGTGTAATATAAATGTTAGTGAGATATACACATCACCAATATGTAGCAAGTACTATTTATGAATTTGGTAATTAAATAAATGTATTATCTATAGATATATAAAATGCAAACATCTTAAGTGAACTCACTATATAGTCAATTGCCCCATAATTAATAATCCAATTATTCAATTTTATGTTTGAAAATATAAGGAAAGTACTACTTGGTTATGAGGTATATAGGAAATTGGTTGTAAGAGTGTTCACTCGTGAAATATTTATTGAAGCTATTGAAGGCATTGAAGGTTGGATCAAAGCTAGCAATTTGTGGTACTAATCTTTGGAGAAAGAAAATGGTAAGTTGTATGAAATATTGCACTAAGAATTGAACTTTATACAAGAATTAGCCACCACAGTAACTGTTTGATTAACATTAGATGTACTTCTTGTCCTAGCTTTATAACCCAAAGGACACCTATATTTTTTGTAACACTTATGTATGTGTGGCCGACAAATCCACAATGTGTGCACATCAGTCTTTTATTTGTAGTTCCTCCATTATTCTTTTTATTTACACCAGGATTATACATATTGGTCATTATTTATGGTTGACCTGAGGTTTTATTCATATATAACACATTAGATTCATACTGGATTGATGCTCCTATATTGAGACTTTGTTCATGTTGCAACACCAGAGAAAAAACTTTGTTTAAAGGAGGTAGTGGCTCAGTTAATAAGATATGAGACTTCTTCTTGTGGCTTCTTAGTTTTCATTACTTTTCTCTAGCTCTCTTTAGGCTTTATGTATGCAACACTCTCACTCTCATGCTCACTTAGGATGCTTACACAATCCAGCTCTTTTTAAGATGCACACACACACACAACACTCTTACTCTAATGCTCACACAACACACTCATGTAATCTAACTCTCTTTGGTCCTCACGCATGCGAAGTCATGCTCACAGTTATACGTTGACACCCTATCAATCCCTATGATGCCTCCAACATCTACAATTCATTTAGCAATGCCAGACACCATAACTGCTATCGAAGTTTAAGCTCTTTAAAAAATTTGTTTCATGTAGAAATTTTAGAGAGCCTTTCAATGCTAGTTTTTGATATTATTTAGGGTTTAGATAATGAACATTAGAGTTTGTAAATATAGGTATTCTGCATATGGATATTTGGATTGTTTCTCCAATATTGTATTATTGTCATCTTCTCTTTTTTAATTCAAATTTTCATTTATATTATATTGAGATGACATGTCGAAACTTATGAAAATTTTATTGTGGCTTGATTTTCAAATTATGTAAGCACTGAAGTTTGCATATAGTGTATGTGTTCTTGGTAATTTAATTGGTGTTTTAGAAAAAAAAATTAATTCAGTTATGAGTAGATTGAAAAATTTCGTTTTAAATCAAACTAAATTTTTTTGATCCGACCAAACCAAATCAAACTTAATATTGCTTGATCTTTGGTCTAGAGGTTAGTGAACTTTCAGTCTTGATCCAACCCGATCCAATGTGATCTTAAACCGATGCACCCTTTAGCCACGATGATATCCTAATCACTAGATCAACATATCTCTTAAGCAAGTGTTTTGCAAAAGTTTTTGTTTGTAATAAATCTAAAACCAAATTTACTTGTAAAAATTATAAATATAAAGGTATTAAAATAAAAAAAATAATATGTAATTAATAACATTTGAAATATAAAAGTTAAATTCATGTAATATTTATAAAATAAAAATAATTCACTCCAATATTATCATATTTGTACTCAAAAAAATTCTCAGTCTTAATAATTTAAAGTATATTATTCTAATTTCATATAAAATTTTACATGAACTTAATTTTGTAGTATAGTTGAATTTTTTTTTTATTTATGAAATTAGATATAAATTTACACAAATTCCATTAGGTTTAAATTTTTTCAAAAACGTTACCCAATAATAATATAATCGGGTGCAACTGATAGCCAATTTGGCACTGTAACTGGAAAAAGATACTCTCAAAATGACTGCATCTAATATATATCCAAAAAAAACTTTGATCAAGCTTTCCCGAGGTTGTACTTCTCTCATAATCCAAAATTTATAAAAGAAAAAACCAATCCAAAAACTCATTGAAGTTAATCAAATAAAAATAGGAAAAAATTATTTAAGTTAAATCCATATAGAATTTAAAGTGATATTAAAGTAATATATCTAAAATTATTTAAAATTAATAAAATTAGACTTCTTATATCCCAATTTACCTTAGAATGTATATTTTTATCATTTGAGATAAAATTTTCATCATCCTTTACTTGAATCAGATGCAATTTTTAAATAAATTTTTACAAAATTTGTTATTAATTCCCAACATAGCCCTAAGGTAAAGCAACAAGATAACCAGAGAATTAAATGTCAGTTAGTATTCTATTTACAGACATTTCCCAATTCTTCATTCTTTATTAACGTGTTCCATTTCTGCTGCTTTCAGTCTTCGACGACATATCTGTTTCTCCTTGCACCAAATGCAATTCTCTGCATTACGAGACAAAGTGAAAACAGAACTTAGAGACGATCATCAAAATTTTATACAAGGATGACAATTAGCACTTCTTAACTGAGAATATCTGTGAATAAGCTTTCAGTCCAGTGAGAAAACGGAAGTATGTGGGTTTCATCGATCCATTTGCAGGGATGGACCTGATATTTGGAACAAGGTACTCTGCAACCTGAAAAGAACCCCGCTCCAAGTGAGAATAAACAAGAGAAAAACAATCAGCATGATAGGTGGTAATGTTAATTTGACATAACAGGACAATGTTTTGAAGATCCTCATGACTACAAATAATTTCTGAAATTCCCACGAAAAAGGGAAGAAAAGATCTTTGATTCTCTGTCACTAGTTCCATTAAGTTCAACATATAACAGATTGATCATGAAACACATAATCACAGCATAAAGAAGCCTGCACTTTATTTTAAAAAAAGAAGCCTGTATTTTGCCATTTAAGAGAATGCTATCTTACCACTTCCGCTGGCTCTGCCAAAACATTTATGAAAAATTTGGCCTGCAGCAAGCAGATGTCCAATTTCTAGGTCAGAAGACTGGAAGAAAGAAATAGAGCAAGAAGTCCATTGTGTTCAATTTAACCTGCTTTGTTGTGGCACCAGACAAGAGTAGGTCAGTTGTCACCATTCCTGGCTGCAGTGCAATAGAAAGAAGTGAAAAATAGGATACAAAAAAAAGAGTGACCAGAAAGAACAAGAAAGCATGAGAAGAAATACATGCAAAGAAGTACTTGTTAAATCTGAACTTTGGTTGAATTCGCTTCGGGAGTTGCCGAGAGTATCGAAATCCATTTACTCAAATTATTATGCAATTATGCTATTGGTCAACATATTAATCGGTAATTGAGACACATGAAAACCAGGTGCATACTAGAGGCTGGAGATAATTAGAGCCTATACGCCATTAGTCGTACCTTTTGTGTTACTTCAAAAGAAACATAGAATCTGGGTGAGACTTTGAGAGTTTCACCACGTCTTACTGACCTCCTTGCTTAAATGGTTAAAGCTTGAGTAACACCAGGTCACGTTCTTCGAAACTTCAATGAGCATCGACATACTATTTGGATTAGAGCTGAGCCTTCAAAAGAGGTTGCTTATTACCCTGTTAGCCTTATCCTTTCTGCGATGAATGCTTCCACTGATTGCAAGGCAGAGTGCAGGTCAATAGTATCTAAGTAAGATGAAGCGAATTTATATAGTGCTTGGAAGGGGGGTCATTTTCAGACTAGAGTGGTAAGAAGTGTTATACTACCATTTGACAGCAGCTAGTCACTTTGCTCATATTTTAGGTTGTTGATGGATCATGCACCTGAGAGATATTAATAAACATGGTGAACATTTTATCTCTATTCAAGACCAGAACTTGTGGAATTACATATAGCCGGTGGATGGTCTCCATGTATAGTCGGCTGCTCTTTGAGCTGTGAAGTGATGGTGTGCCGGTATGAAGTGACTATATTTAGTTAAGCGGTTTACGACCAATAGTATACTGTTTTTGCCTTCTGACTTTGGGAGTTGTTCGATAAAATTCATGGACACGAGTCCCATACTTGAGATGGAACTAGAAGTGGTTGCAGGAGTCTGGGTAATGAGACCTTCTCAACTTTACAACATTTACAAATGTCACAACATTGTACCAACTAAGTAACTTGATTCTTCATACTTAGCCAATAGCAATGTTGTTTAGCTTTCACATAGGTGGCTGTAATTCCCGAGTGACCTCCAACAACTGAATTGTGACACTGATGCAATAATCTGATTTTCAACTTCTTATTATCTCCAATTACCAACCTGCCTTTGTGACGAGTGAGTCCCCCTTTAAGACTAAACGAAGGCTTGCTCCCACTTTAAGACTAAATGAA